GTTCTTTATAAACTTACTGTCGAAATGAACTTATTCAACTGAATACAATCTTGGGACTTTAAGAAGCAAAAATAAAATAAAAATTGTAGCAAATGAAAACTCAATAAACAAGGGAAGATGTACTGGATTTTGTTTAGGGTTATCCCTCAAGAGCTTGGCACACCTCACAGTTGATCATCTGACAACGCACTCAAATCTAAATTGGGAAGCTCCTCTAGACACCCTAGCTGAATTTTTGAGGCAAGAGAGTAATAGACACAACTAGGGTTTCACCGAGATGACCCTAAAAAATAAACTAGGGCATGTGACAAAGGCACACCCAAGCCTAGGGCTGGGATGCCCCTTTTTTCTCTTCCTCTTGTGCTAGGCGTGCCTCCCTAGACACTTAGGGAGGGTGGCATGCCTATTTTAGAGAGAGAGAGAGAGAGGCATGGAGAGAAATAGAGAGAAGAGAGAGGAGATAGATCAATTATTTAGAATGAGGGGGAGAACCCCCTATTGATAGACCACTAGGGCTTAGGGTATCCCGGTTAAATTAGGAGTTCAACTCGATCTAGAATTATTTTGGTGATCTGTGAGGTGAGAGAGAGAAATTAATCTGAGCCGCCCATCTCTGATATCGACCATCATGATTTAGAGAGGATATTTAGAAACCTACTAAGATAATCTTTTAAAATAAAAAACCTAACCAAAATATTCCCTCTGAGAATATTTTATAATTAAAAAACCTTTTTTCTTTTCTTTATTTAAAAAACAAGTGGCACGTAAAAGTGGGCGTGCCACTTAATGGGATGTGTGGGCCATAATGGGCTCCATGTGATGGCGCTACGTGGGCCCCACATGTGTGGGGTTGGGCCCTTAGGCCCCCCATGTGGGTGTCACAAAGAAAATCCAAAATTCCAAAAATGCCCCTGCAAATTTAAAAATTATGGAATTACCCTTTTAGGATTTTTATACATTTAAAATTTATTTTAAAAATTCTGAAAATTTCCAAAAATCAAATTAACATATTTTTAGAAATTTTTTAAAATTCTGAAAATTCCCAAAAATCACATGACATATTTTTAGCTAAAAACAAAATTTTTGAACTTTTCATAAAGATCCAAAACACAGAAACAAAACTTAGAAGTGGATAGGTACCTTGTTAGTCAACCACAATACACTCTCATTGAAGTGCACAATCTACTATAAATAAATTTATTTGTATGCTCTTTAGGCCTTTAAAGGCCACAATCCCCCATAATGAAGAGAATATATGTTGGTTTTGTTGGAAGCCTGGTCATATAAGGAGGAATACTTTCAAGAGAACATGGGTGAATTCGTCAAATGATCCTAATGTGGGAGGCGAAAGGCAAAGAGAATCTAAGAACGAAGCTAATCAAGTTGAAGAGTTGACATCTGGATTCATCGATGATATAGTATTAATGGTGGCATACAATCCTATGTACTATCATATTAAGATCCTTGATGGTGGAGTCACCCATCATATTTGGGCCACGTAGATCACGTTTTGGCTCATATAAGTCATGTGAAGGAAGATCAATTGTTTCATTGAACAAGACAAGTTACAAAGGCAAATGGTGGAACTCCATCTCCAATTATTGAATGATATGATGGATTCAACAAGCTCGAGTTCGAGCTTCTTCCAACCTTAAGAGAATGATGCAAACAAGGTTTTTATTTTTTATTTTATTATTTTTTAGAAGATTGAAATTTAAGTTTATTCTTTTGGGTTTCTAGTTTTATTTTGGGGTATTTATATCTTTTTTAGTTGTAGAGAATTGAGGGGTAAAACTGAAAGTTTATTTTTTAAAAAGATGAAGTGTTAGATTAGGTTTTAGGGTTGTTTTATTTTATAAATATGTAACTCTTGGATTAGAAAAATTAGAGTCAAGAGAATAAGAGTTTATTTTGAGTCTTGTGAAGAGATCTGTTTGGGATGGACTTCTTGCAAACCCTGTGAGAGGGTATATTCTCTCAATCTTTATTCATGTCTTTTACTTCTTTGATTTGTTTTTGCTTCAGGAACTCCTAGTGATTATTCCAATTGAATTTTTTTGTTGTGATGCTTATGCACTTATTTGAAGTTACCAAAGGAATAAGTTGGATCCCACATCAAAGAAGTGTATCTTTGTGGGTTGTAGCAAGGGTGTGAAGGGATATTGATTATGGGATCCAATTACCCAAAAATTAATCACTAGTTGGGATGTTCATTTTGATGAATCACGATATTGGCAAAAATGGTGATGAAGAAAGACAAAGATCAAGAAGTGCAAGATGAGAGCCAAGAGTTAGAAAGTAACCCTGAAATGCTTCCACCAAGTCCAACCATACCTTTTGAGGAAATGCACATTGATCATGGTGAAAACATGATGAACCTGTAAATGAAGATGAAGCACCACATGGCCATCAAGATGAAGCTGTGCCTTTGGTACCTAGGCCCTCTACTAGAGAAACTCGTTCACCCGAGCGGGAAAAAAGATATTGAGAATCCAAATACTTTGCATGCTTTGATACTTGAAAATGAAGAGCGAACATCATTTTTTGAAGCCATTGAAGTAATGACTTGGCGCATTGAAAGAGAGCAATAGAAGTAGAGATATCGGCTCTTCAAAGAAACAATACTTGGGATTTGGTAGAGCTACCAAGAGGTAGGAGGGTGGTTGGATGTAGTACATGTTCAAGATAAAGAAGAGGCCTAATAGCAAGTTTGAAAGTAGGGGGCAAGATTATTGGCTAAAGGGTTTATACAAGCAAGGCATTGACTTTGATGATACCAGTGGTCAAGTTGGGCTTAATTCGGTTGTGCTTGGGTTAGTTACTATGTTTGGTTAGAACTCGAGCAAAATGGACGCATAGACAACTTTTTTGCATGGGGAAGTTGAAGAGGAAGTGTACATGCAGCAACTGGAACGCCTTATTGAGTAGGGCAAATGACTTGTGTGTAAATTGAAGAAGTCCTTGTATGGACTTATGCAAGCATCAAGGCAATGGTATAAAACATTTGTTATGTTTGTGATAAGCCTTCGTTACATTAGAAGTAAGTTGGACCAACACATCTATTTAGAGTTCTTTGATGATGATACATTCATGAGTTTAGTTTTATATGTGGATGGCATGCTTATTGTGTGGAAGGATAAGGCTAGAATTGATAAGCTCAAAACATCCTTGAGCAAAAGATTCGAGATGAATGATCTTGGACTATCAAGGCAAATACTTGGGATTGAAATTGAAAGGGAGAAGAACAATGCAACTTTGTTAATATCTCAAAAAGTTTCCATGGAAAGGGTGCTTAACAAATTTTGCATGAGAAATGCAAAGCCTATGAAGACACCCCTAGTGCCTCACTTCAAATTGTTTTCAAGGCAAAGTCTGAAGATGGTGGAAAAATGAAGAAATATGGCTAAGGTGCCCTATGCAAGTGCCATTTGTAGCTTAATGTTAGCCTTGGTGTGTACTGAATATTGCCCATGTAGTTGGTTTTCTAAGTCAGTTTATGGCGAACGTGGGAAAGGCTCACTACGAAGCAACAAAATGGCGCTTCGGTATTTAAGAGGCACTACTAATTACACAATCACGTTTAGCAAGGACTCAAATCCAATACAAGGTTTTGTGGATGCTAATTTTGTCGGTGACCTTTATAAAGGCAGGTCAACTACCGCATTTGTTATGCGGTTCGCAAATAGATTGATAAGTTGGATGAAGGATTCCAAGACACGATAGTGCTATCAACTACCATGGCCGAATATATGGCGTCAAGAGAGGCTTCAAACTAAGTAGTGTGGCTTTAAGGATTGATGGATGAGATGGGTATTATGTTCATGCCCATGGAATTATTTTGTGACAATATGGCCGCTATTCACTTGGCTAACAATCCGGTACATTACAAGAGGTCAAGGCACATATTGGTCCAATATCACTACATTCGACAAGTTGTTGAAGATGGGAGAATTCGACTGGTCAAGTTCAAGATGAACTGATTATGCTTACGAAGGCTGTTTAAGTAGAGAAGCTAGGAAGTTAGAATGGAGCCTAGCTTCTCTTGGTTTCAAGAAAGGAAAGTAGTGATGGCAAGGCAAGGGTGTGATTTTGTATCAAGGTGGAGAGTGTTGGGATGGTGATATAAAATTGCCTCCCATTTGACATTTTCCTCCTTGTATGTAGGTATTTTGGTCAAATGCAAAATGATCTTTATGTGGGGGCACATATTAGTCATCTGTCGATAGAGAAAAGAAAAACTGAGGAGAAGGAGAAAGAGAGATTAAAGGGTTTTCCTCATCCATTGGCAAACCTTAGCTTTATTTTTCCCTTGTATTGAGCTGGATGTCATTGGCATTCCTTTGCGGTAATGAGTTGGTCGACGATATCATATTAAGGAGTCAATTGATGATGGTATTGTGGTAGGAATCAATATGAGCTTTCTTTTTCACTGCAAGGTAATCTCTATAAAACTGATGAATTTTCTCCTTCGGTAGTGAATGCATCCTTGCCTATAGCCAGTGGATGTAGCCCATTTTGGGTGAAGTGAACAATGTAAATTGGTGTATGCCTTTGCTTTGTGCTTATGTTGTGGTTTTTCGGATTCCTATTTCATTTGCTTTTGGTCCCTTTTATATTTTTCTGTAATATATTGGACAGTTTGTTGTTCTTGGCTACTGTTTTTTTGAAATGGGCTTGCGGGTAATTGGTGAGGTGTTGGGTTTGTTGTTGTTGGGAGCTCTCCACATCAAGTAGGAATCGGGGTTATCTCGGTTTGCCAACTGTTTGGGGATGCAGTTTTGCTTTCTTGAGTAAAGTAATACTACATGAGCTCTGATATGAAAATGGCTTTTGGGATTTATCATGGAAGGCAACTTCTATGAAGCATTCCAAGAAATGTACTAGTTCTAGGTTTTTGTTTGTTTAGTAATGCATATAATTTTCTCATTGAATCAACTGTGGACTCATGTTTACCTGATAATCCATTTTATTTCTAATATTTTCTTTGTGTTGGAATGAAGGAAAATCTATGCCCTGGATATATCTGGAACAATCCCCATGGCATTGTTCAATCTGACTGAGCTGATGGACTTGTGAGTTCCAACATCTCTCTTTCTCACATATCAATGAACGTACTATCTATCATTGTGCCCATCTATGTGTACATGGTTAATCTTATTAATTTTGCTAGTAATGGATTGGGATGTCTAACATAGTCATCTCGAACTGCCATGGTCCCTACAGGAATCTGGCTCAGAATATATTAAATGGGTCAATACCTCCTCAATTTGGGCAGCTGTCAAAGATGCGATACTTGTGAGTTATCTTGATAGTCTATCTTTCTAATTGATTCTTCGTTTTTTCCCCTATAACATTGAGCTTTGTATCCATCTATTGGAAACTATCTTTGTTTGAATTGTATCCCCCAAAATTTGGTGGCATGCAACCCTGGTTTGCTATTGGATATTTGATAATTAATGAACCCAATCAGGAGCCTTGGTATAAACAATTTCACAGGACCAGTGCCTGCAGAGCTTGGCAATCTCACATCACTAATCTCATTGTAAGTTCTCTTTTCACATATGATTCAGTATCCAAATTTTTTCTTGTGGATTCTCTCTGTAAAAAGCACATGTGAGCTTGACTGGGGTTCATGAACTTCTCCAATTATAAGCTAATGGCATATTTGCAGTTGCTCTGACTCTAGTTATTGCATTTTTCAGGAGCTTTAGTTCAAATAATTTGAGTGGTCCTTTGCCAAAAGAACTTGGGAATCTTACCCCCCTGGAGCAGTTGTAAGTGCAGTTCTTCTGTATGGTTGGTCTTGAATAAATCTTTGCCTTTCCAAACATGTGGCAAAGAAACTTCTCTCGTATAAATTACGACTAGTCAGTTCAGTTAAGTTCATTGACATAATCTGATCCCTAATCTTATAGATATATCAACGTCAAACAGGTACATTGACAGCAGTGGGATGAGTGGCAATATTCCAAAAGAATTAGTGAACTTGAAGGCATTGAGGATACTGTAATATATACATCTTTGTGTTGGACCTTATCTTCTTTAATTTATATTTTGCCTCTACTAATTATTTTTGCTCTAGCCTAAATAGACACTCTGTTGTATGAAGATATACTAAAGAATAGTGTACAAGTTTCATGTTCAGTTAATTTCCTGAGTTGGAATGCTGATTGAGTGTCCCTTGTTTAACAGTTGGGCATCTGATAATCTCTTCACAGGGAACTTGCCAGAGTTTTTTGGGACACTGACGAACCTTGAGAACCTGTATGTTTTTGTTCCTTTGAATTATTTTTATAGTCTGGAATTACAAATATTGTGTTCTCTGTGTTCCCGTCTATCTTTTGGAATAACAGAGATAAACTACATTACCTTGGGGGAAATAAGTTCTTGTGATTTACCTGGTATTTATCTACTTGACACAGGCGTCTCGAGGGGACCTCTTTGAATGGCCCAATTCCAACAAATTTTGCTGCTCTAACCAAGCTGACAGACCTGTAGGTATTTCTTAGTTCTAATTTATATGCTAAAAAGGGTTGGGCTCCACTTATGATATACATGCTACTTTATACTGCTCTAGGATTTTTCACTTGAAATACTATACTTGAAATTTTTGAAATCAGAAGAAGAAGTTTAGTGACTATTAGGGGCCCCACGCCTTTTAAGGAAATATGTGTAGTGACTATTATGGGGTTCATGGCCTATTAAGGAAACGTAAAGTAACTATTATTGGATACTTGCCCATTATGGAAATCTCCCTGTGGTGACAAGGCACATTGACTAAGATTCCGTGTATAATATAGTATATTAGTGTATGATACTGTGCTCAATACAAAATTCTTTAAATGCATGTAATGAATATTGTTGATCTCTATTTGTTCTAAGTACTTTAATTTTGTGGTTTTCTTAGATTTCTACCTCGGCTTTGTATTTTTTCAAACAATTTAGGGCTTTTGACTTTTCCCATATTAGGTATAAATGGACAAAACAGTAGAGGTCATCAATGACAGGGATAAGGTACCTCTTGCGGCCCTTAGTGGACAACTTTTAAAATGCCTGTAGCTCTCTGAGCTTTTGCAAATGATTTTTTAACCTGTTTTTCTTGAGCACCACTTCATATTTTTAGATCTGTGTTTTTTTCGATCCACACACCTAATCTTGGGTTTCGGCCACCATCAATTTTCAGATTTGGTTTCTTGAACCACACATCACAAATTCATTGAAAAACGAAATGAAACCCTTAATAGTTAGGCCTTTTTTTTTTGTCCATACCTAATTTTTACAAATTTAGGGTTTCGAAAGCATATCTCGAAGCCTCCTGCTTGGAGACCATGTTAATACAACCAGTGTTTGCAAAATCGAACCGGAACGGTTAACCGGACATGGGCCCGGAAGCGATTTAACCAGTAAACCGGCCTATTCAACCGCTCTAACCGAGCAAATCCTGTACTACAAAAAAAGTGTTAAAAAAACTAAAAAAGATACAAAAAAAAATCTATTAAAATATGAAAAGCATATAAAGAATGTGATTAAAATAGAACACAATCAAATGAAGTTGAAAATTAATGAAAAATGGATTTTAATGAATCGATTTGTACCTAGGGGTATTTTTAAAATTTTCTGAAAAGGATGGGAAAATATAAAAGTATCATTGACCAACTTTTTTTTTATATTTACCATAATGTAAAGAATATTAAAATAGTGTTAAAAAAATCGACTTGACCAACTCTTTTTTTTAAAAGAAAATGAAAAAAAAATTAAGTTATATATAATATAGGCAATTCTTTTAGTCAACTAAGTAGTAGTAAATAAACGCAAAAACACTGGCAACAAGTTTCGATCCATGATTCACGTACTACTTAACTGATATAAATGTGAAGTAATATTATATCTAAAGTTTAAATCAACAATAACTTAAGTAATATTATATCTAAAGTTTAAATCAACAATAACTTAAAAGACAAAACGTAAAAACTGATATAAATGTGAAGTAATATTATATCTAAAGTTTAAATTAACAATACCTTAAGCAATATTATATCTAACGTTTAAGTCGACAATAACTTAAAAGACAAAACGTAAAAACGCTGGCGCGAGATTCGAACCATAGTTCGTACAGTGAAGCTGTTGATGCTAACCAGTAAACCATTGTAATGTAAGTGATATAAGTTTGAAGCAATATTTTATATAAAGTTTACAAATACTGGTTGATCACCAAAACCGCCCAAAACAGGAACCGGCCACTGGCCGGTTCCGATCTAACCGGGTGGTTACCAGTTAGATCAGCCAGTTTTGCGAACACTGAATACAACACTCTAGTAGGTTGGAAATAAAAAAGTGTAAGGAAGATCATGATGTAGGAAGAGAAAGAAAATGAGGGTAAGGCACAGGTGGTTAGGGGGACAGATGCCTAAACATAACGTCTTGGCCTCCATTCCCACCGTTAACATATCATAATCATCATTAGCATCATCATCATCCAATCTTTATCCCAACTATTTGGGGTCCGTTGCATTAATCCTTTTTCGTTTTACGCTTTTCCTGTTAACATATTGGAAGAGAAAAAGAGAGAAAGTTGGAGAGATAGATGAGGGAGATGGAGAGAGTCATGTGAGAAAGGGGAAGAAGAGAGTCATGGTGGTGTCTCTTGGACACCCACACCCATACTTATATGCACTTTATTACTTATAAAAATATGAAGTTACAAAATACCCCTTAAGGGAAATGATGAAAATGTCCTTAGGGACTTAAATACAAGGGAAATAGATAAAAAAATCAATTATTCACAACAAATATTGCTTTTGAACCAATTTCTTGGCATTATATCAAATTTCCCATCTGCTAGCTAATAGCGCATTTAAAGGCTTAATATGTTGTTCTGAATAAGTAACTGAGTTGTTAGTATTTTATTGTCTTTTGTTTTGTGCGTTTGGAAGTTTACAACTATTTTGGATGACTGATTCAACCTTCTTTCTCATATAGGAGACTTGGTGGACCAATGCTGGGGAAATCCTCTCTTTCATTTGTGAAAAACCTAAGAAGTTTATCCATATTGTACGTGCTGTGCCATTCAACTCCTTGAGTAGAAACAATATAAAACTTTTAATTGGAGTATGTGTGTTCACTTTCCAGTCTAATTAAACCTTGATACCATGCCTGTTTATATTTCAGATCTTTGAGAAATTGCCAAATTTCTGGTGAACTTCCGGTACAGCTTGGAGATTTTCCTAATTTGCTTTACCTGTAAGTTGTTGACATATTTTTGAAAAGTAGAAGGCATAAGAATTAAATAGAATTCTGATAACGTGCTTCTTCGGTTTCTATTTATCCAGAATGTTCTAGAGAGTTTCTAGGAGGTATGTTATACAACATTTATTTCTCATAGTATCAAAAACTTGGGTGTAGCATGTCCTTAAAACTTCTCCCTTTCACAGTGACCTTTGTAAGTTATGAATGGAACTATCGGGGGGGATCCAAACTACTTAGAAGTACTTATCATATTAAGTATTACCATCTGAACAGCTTACAATAAATTGAATTGTGGAAGATCTGCCAATATCATAAGTTGTTTAATTTTACTGGCCAATGAAGGCTTTTGTTGATCTATTTAGCTGAACAATGAAAAACTTATTTATACCATCAGTTCTTTTCTTCTTACTGTAACTGCAATATCTTTGTGTCAGGGATCTGAGCTTTAACAAGTTAACAGGTCAAATACCAAGTTCATTTCAGAATCTTAAATCATTGGAAATACTGTGAGTTTTCTATTCATCCCAACTTAGTCATTTATCTTAACTGACAACTTCATTTTGAAGATTGTATCAGAATAGTTTTTCTGCAAATGTTTCTAACATATCGATGGAGTTCCTAGCTGTAATCTTTTTTGTTAATTGAAAAGAATGAATAATTCTAGATGTTCTTTTGAAGAATATTTCGTTTGTCCATGTTGCATGTTTGTTCTGCAGAAGTTAGATGCTGAAATTTTATTAAAGTTTGCCACTTGAAATCCTATCACTAATTCAGCAAATTTATCTATTATGAACATATCCAACTTTTATGCCTTTGGGGATTGGCTTTGCTCATGCCAAATATTGTCTTGCTGCTGTATACCAAATGAAGAAATGCTTGGAGAGCTGCATATAAGTTTCACTTTTTTTGGCTATGATGTTATTATGTCAAAGGGGCATCAAATATCTTAAATCTTTAAGGGTTTGATTCGGATCTGGTTGATCCGAGCTCTTGAGAATTTCTGGTGTATTATATTTTGACTTTCAATTCTCGCAAATTTGAGATTTTTGGTGGTTTCTTATGTGGGATTTGATAAAGAACCTAAAAATGGGCTAAGATAACAAATTTCGTCAAAGATTAAGCAACGGTTGAAATTGCAAGTTTTCTTTTTTTGGGGCCGTAACCTGATAAAAAATATCAATATCTCAAATCCGTAAATTTTGATCCCCCCCCTCAAATCTGATATATTCAATGGAGAGATCATGGAAAATGTGCTCTGCAACTGAAATTTGGGTTAGGTCCAACAAGAAGTTGCCATGAAATGGGGGAAAAGAATGGTCAAATTTTTGCCCCAGTTTTATTTATGAAGAAAGTGTTAGAACTCGGCTACTAATACAATCAAATATTTCTTTAAAAAAAAAGGAAAAAGCTTTAGAATTTGCTAGTTCTAGCAAACTTGGGTGAGTCAAAAGATCCTCACTACAACTCTCTCTCTATCTCTCTATATACATTAAGACAACTCTACATATGCTCTATCTTATTCACTGTCAATTGGGAATTTGAATTTCTCATGTTTCATATATTACTCTCTCTTTCATTTCTTGGGTGTATTATTTTTTCCGTGATATTATTCTGAATTTTCCGTATCATGTCCCTTGTGCCCGTTGAAAGGTATAATGATCATTTTCGCTCTCTGACCAGCTTCTTTCTTTCCATATAATCCAAATTGGATTTGGGAGAGATGAGAATATAAGTTTCTCGAAAATGCGCTAGGTAGGGGACAACCACATATAAGTTCCTCTTTTCTGAATTTGGTCATACAGTAAAGAAGAAAAAGAATACTGATCAAAGAGACAATCAAAGCATCGCAAATATTCCTTAATGTCTTCTTACAATGAAAAGTTTCAACCACCCTTCTTTTGATTAGGGAACTCAGTGAATTATGAAAATCAATTTTTTTTTTTTTTCTCCTTTTTTTTGGTGCTGAGGTGGAAACATAGTTGTGATTATGGGAGAAAAAGGAATTCCTTGTTCTGGTTGTACAAACGATTCAAAAGTGTTCAACCATAACACGATAAAAACTGAGAAGAATAGTATTCAGTCTTACAGTTGTCGATAAATTGTTCTAGAGTTTCATTTTAGGGGTTCTGGATGAAATGGTTCAAGCAGCTGTGTTGTGTTAAGGGGACCAATTTCTCTGTTTTCAATCCATTTTTTCTTCTTGATTTTTTGTTTAGACTATAGATACTAAGTGTGCTTCAATTCCACAATGTAGTTCCCTTGCTGCCACTCACTTCCACTCGATCTGATTAAAAGGTATTTTAATGGAGAATTTAGAAAGAAGATACTCTCTCTATCTTGTTGCGGTGATGGAATTTTCTCATCCATTCAAATCATCCTGTTAGTGGATGAATTCTACATGTATTCGAATAGATGGCAAAGTTTCAGCCTTATACAGTTTTGCCAAATACACCAACAATTGAATTGTTCTTTAGCAGTCCTGCATGATTATAACTTACCCTCTTCAATGCATTGGTAATGTGCAAATAAAGGTTGATTGTCATTATGTAAGATCCCTGTAGGTTGAATTATCTTTATGACCAATATGAAGTAAAGGGATCTGACTTTGGTTTGTATTGATGGGGAGTATTTCTTATGATAAAGGTGTGGCGGCCTTTTCTGCCAAAAGGGATCTTCTGTAAGATAACATCATTTATTCTTCTGTAACATGGCATTTTTGATGCTTTTGTGATCTATTGTTGTTTTGCAGCTTTAAAGTGAAGTTATTATTAATGTATCAAGATGATATGTATTCAATTAATAATGTTTGGACTTTTTTCCATTGATTTTTATATTCTGCACACCAACACTAAATAAGATAGCTACTTTATAAAGGTAGTTTTCTTTTTTGTGGTCTGGCCTGATGTTCACTATTTGAATATTTTGAACCACTTCGAGGGCTTTATTCAATTACATTTATTTTTTGCAGTGCTCAGAAATGGATTTCTTTTATCATTTTCAGGTATCTTGGGAACAATAACCTTTCTGGGCCATTCTCATCACAAATTATGCCACCAAAACTTATGGCATTGTGAGTTGAATAATAGTAATGGATTTTTTCCTTCCTTTTGTTTTTATTACGGGATTCAAATTTATCAAGTTGTAGATGAGGTTGTGTTTATTGATCGATTCCAAATGAAAAATAGCATTTGGCCTAGTGATTATTAGAAATTGTTACATGTATTACATGAATAAGCAGATTATATTTTTATTGATGTAATTTTCTTTTGTGAACACTCTTTTGTGGAATTTCATTCAGATAGTCAGAACATCTTATATATGAAAAACATTGGTTATTTCGTTTTGATAGTCTTACATTTTGCTCCAAGTTGGTCCATGAATGATTATTGTAAGAGACCTAAGGATAAAAGCCAGAAATTATTTGTAGCAACCACCCTCAAGGTAAGCAGGAGTTCGGTACACTGCAAGCTTGCTTGGTAATAAACAATGTTTTTCTCCAACATTGTCTTTTGCAGAAACAAAAATTGATCTCTCCAGTTGGAACTGTCAAAGAATCTAGAGAGAGCAAAAGAAGAAAAAGAATTGAGAGAAGGGAGGTATGAGAGACATGACAGAAAGAGAGAAGAAATATGATAGATGTGCGAGAGTGAAGAGAGGGTCAAATTGATCCCTCATGTACCTCTTAAACCACTTATATATTATTTAAAAACTATAAAACTTAGATAAAAGAACTTTTAACATGAACTTTTTCCAAAAATGATGATCCACCTGGATCACCTTTTGCCAAGTTGATGGCCACGATAGAAAAAGAAACCAATTTTGGGACCATAGTTACCTGAATCTCTCACCGGAGGTCGCGATTTCTATTCGGAACCCCAATTCAACGATTCCAACTAGGAATCTTCGTAGAACCCATTTTCGTGAAGTTTAGAATATTGATTCCTTATTTTGAGAATGTCGATTGCAACACTTATAGAATCTCGTTTCCAATATTAATGATTCTCGATTCCACAATTGGTGAATCTCAATTCTACACTTGTACAAACTGGTTTCTACATTTGCCAAAATTCTACCATTTCCCCCCTTTTCTCTCTTTTTGTTTTTCTCGAAGGAGTGATGTGTAGAAGTTTTCGAGGCATCAAACTACTAGAGCTAGACACACTATGTCAAGCTACAAAGTAGTCATCCTTTTTGGCCTGAAATGACTAATAGAAACAAAAGTGGGGGTCCACGTTCTCTACTTAATTCTTTAAGATGCATTGTATTGATTCAATGGATAGATTGCAACTCCAAGATGTTACAAATAATGTAAATATGCATGTATGGCATGGCAGTCAATTAATGGCATTGAGACATGTATTATTTCCCTCTCAGTACCCTCTCGATTCCAAAATGTTGGAATCTCGATTCTATGAATGAAGGAATCTCAATTCCTTGGTAAATTTCAACTGGGTTGGAAACTCGATTCCATCTATGTAGAGATGTCGATTCTATTTTCGTCAAATCTCCATTCCTAAAAATAGGTATCTCTTTTCCCACGATTCCTCTTGTACGGATGTTGATTTTGGGAATAGGAATCTTCTAGCAAGTGGCGATTCCGCACTTTCGATTCCTAAATCGATTCGGTTTCGTAATCACTTCACTATGGATGGGACAAACATTGTGTTCCCCTTCCTAATAAAAACTCCTCAAAAATGGACACAACATAGTACATAATCTTGTGGGTCATTTGTCCTTGGATATTAGAAGGACTTCCAAGTATGTATACACAAGCAAATAATCAAGGAAATGTGTCTAAGTCGATGCTTTTACCTCTACTACCTCAAATAGTTGAGTCTTTTATTTGCCACTTAGTGTATTACATATTTGATGAAATTGGAACTTGCTTGTGGTCCAAATGAAAACAAAATGGAATTAGAAGGTCTTGTTAGTTCCTAAAGTCGTAGGTATTTGGGATTACTTCTTTTTATGGTATTATTTGATTTGGAAGCATAATATATGATTTGTAATGAACATAGAACATAGGGAAGTTTGAGATTACTTGTTAGTTCCTAAAGTTGTAGGTATTTGGGATTACTTCTTTTTATGGTACTATTAGATTTGGAGGCACAATATATCATATATAATGAACATAGAACATAGGCAAATTTGAGGCATAATATATGATCTATAATGAATATATAACATAGGCATGTTTGAGATTACTTCTTTATAGTAATTTCTTAATCTTTTTCTATTGTTTATTAAGCAACTATGTGTGTTCCACTTTTTTATTTATTCACTTATTCTCAATGTTTTTTATTATCAGTGTCCATTCTAAGGAATGTAAAATAATTGGAATATTTTGATTTAAAATATTGTATACTTCTGTTTAATTAAATAATATCTCTTGATATACGTGTAAAAGTTATTACTTTACTTTGTCCTCGCGACCTTTTACTTTTTTTCATTATGTGGAAGTTAGAATTAATTAATGTTTACCTACTTTTATTGATGTGGGGAGGGAAAAAACGTTATTTAAAGGATGATTTGTTGACACCAATCATTTTAGAAATCATAATTTCCTTTCAAATGCTTTGATTCCAGATGCAAGGGACTAGGAGCATTTCAAGGAGTGTAAAAATATCATACTTTCAATAATGGTTGCCTAAGAATCACCTTAAAATTGCCATTTTTAGAAATGGGAGTCTAATCCTTCAAGAAGAACCTTAAGTTCTAATCTTTTATGTTTTTTGATGTCTCTTATTTTACAGAGACCTGTCCTTCAACCAACTTTGGGGAACTTATCTATCGAATGACATACAAAGTGGACTTGTAGTGTAAGTTTAAGTTTTTAGCGACTTTTTTATTTACAAATGACTGTAGACCTCCTGCCATGGGTCCATGCATTGTAAATATTATGTTTTAGCTCATCTGTGATTTGTGAAAACACGACAACGTTAATTTACCTGTTTGATTTGCTTCCTTTTAGGAATTTGGTGGGAACTCGTGTGGATGTCAATACTTTATATGACAGGTGCGATACTCGCAATTGCATTATTGTACCTTCTGTTTATTGCTTTTTCTATTTTTTGTAATATGCATGGATCACTAATTGTTGACTGATAACATAATTTTCGTTGTTCTGACCTTAAGTTTTCATGTCTAGGTTTATTAGGTGTCATGAGTCTTTTTTGTTTTCATACCTGATTCCTAGACTAATCTCTCTCGTTAAAGCCCCTTATTTGCATATGTTGATCATTATAACCTTAACAAGTAATGGACTATCTATTCCTTGTGATTGTTTGGGCAACTAGAACTTGGGGATATGCTTAGGCATAAATGTAATTTCCTCAACTAAAAGAAAATTCTTTATGCAATTTGCACCTTGTCTTGCACTAAAGATTTCCTATTGTCAACTGTCTAGTTGTTTGTCTATTTTGGAGTTGGTTCCTTTGCTCGTTTGTGGTCGTGGAAGCTTAGATTTTGATGGAAGGAAAAATTAGTCGTATTTTTTATTTTTATTGAATTTCAAAGGATGTATATTATAGTTTTAGCTTTAGAGTTTATTTCTAGGGTTTTTTAATTTTTAGAATTCTAATGTTTTTATTCTTTTATTTACTTCATGAGTACTATCCACAATTACTGTTCATGAGTATTGTTCATAGGGGTAAAACTGTCGTTATGAATAATTTGTTTGGACTCTTTTTGTACTGAAACATTAAATTATAATATATAAGAGGTGTGTGGGGCCTTGAGGGGGTTATTCCACATGCTTTTTAGAAATTGACTGAGAAAAATGCCTGGTCTTTTGGAATCCTAGCTTGGGGTATAGAGTAGAAACCTTAGGTGTCTTTGAATTATTCTTGTGTTTGGCTTTGTTTCTTGTTGATTTTATTGTTCCCTCAAATTTTCTGCATCAAATTGGTATCAGAACTAGCGATCTACACGAAAGGTACTGTAGCAGTGTACGGAAGTATTGTAGCACTGTACAAAAGCACTGGATTGATGGTACTATAGCGTCAATGTTTGGTGCCCTAGATGAACAACTAAGCGGGGAAGTTACAGTGGGGTATCGGGTTTGCTGATTTTGGCCAAAGTTTTGCCAAAACAACCTAGATCTTGTTGATTTGAGCAGTTCTTTGTTGATTATTGTGCCTGTGGTTTGTGATTTCGGTGAATCCATGGCAGTGAAAAAGGGCCGTAGAAGGGGGAATTTCGTATATCGGCTCCATGATCCCATATATGAGAGAATTGAGGAACTTGAAAGGCAAGTTTAGCAGTTGATGCAGTGATCTTTTAGCTCAAGAGGATCTCAAGTACAAGCTTTTTTACTTTTGTGCTCCCCGTGTGGAGTCCTGTTTGAGGATAGTGACAAAAGACCTAGATGTGGGGAACATCACTAGAGGGTTTTCGATTTGAAGGATGATATTTTGTTTTTGACGCAGATTACATCGAAAATCAACAAGTTGTAGATTTGGATTCACCACCAATCTTCGATACATACTCAGATGAACAACAAGATTTTTTAGGAGATCAGATCTATGATAAGGATCAAGATGATGATGGAGATATTGTGGAAGAGGGTGAAGTATATGGAGAGAAGCCAGCAAGAGGATTGATTGAAATCAACGCCTTTGAAGATCTCATTAATATCGAAAAGATAAAGCATTCAAGAGATTTAGGGTGTTGGAATCAGCGTAGCACAAATGAAATGTAGTCAACTCACAAACAACAAATTGTGGCCCTAATTTCAGCGAATATTGAAATAGATGTCGAGAAAACCTCTAAAGGCCAAAAAAATTGAGTTTTGAGTATCTTACATGATTTTCAATGTAGTTCAAGAATAGCCAAATTTGATAAATTTGCATTGATTCCTTAATATACATATCAGGATCCGTTTCTTGATGAATTCTTTTTACCATGAATAATATTTGATCCATCAAAGAAGAAGAAGGTTGAAGAAGGTGGTTTGAATGCTAAATTTATCTTAGCACGCTTCAAAACTTGAGGACAAGTTTTCTCCAACTAGGGGGAAATGATGGAGGGCAAAATTAGTCTTACTTTTAATTTTTTTTTCAATTTCAAAGCATAAATATTATAGGTTTAGTTCTAGGGAATATTTCTGGAGTTATTTAGTTTTTTTGGGATTCTAGGGTTTTTATTTTTTTATTTACTTCATGGGTACTATTTACAATTACTGTTCAAGAGTATTGTTCATGGGTATTGTTTATAGGGGTAAAAATGTCATTACGTTTTATTTAATTGAACACTTTTTGTGCTTGGAACATTAAATTATAATATATTAGAGGTGTGTGGGGCCTTGAGGGGGCCATTCTACATGATTTTTAGAAATTGCAAGAGAGAAAAGCTTAGGCTTTTGGAACCCTAATTTGGGTATAGAGATGAAACCCTAAGTTTCTTTGAATTATTCTTGTGTTTGGATTCATTTCTTGCTAATTTTATTGTTCCTTCAAATTCTCCTACATCAGATTTTCTCTACTTTGTTGCTTTTAATTGCTGGTGGGCCCAAATTAAGAGGCTGATTAGGAATTACTTGGAGAATAGGGTTGTAATCACTATGAGAAAAAAAAATATAATCAAGTTTTCACATGATTTTCAATCTTCATATTGATTACAGTCAACTGAATAGATAATATTTCAAGATGAGGATTTCGGGGGGAAAATAAAAAATTGTGGTTGATCAGCCATCCAGCTTGGACTTCAGGTGATAGTGACTATCAGCTGATTTTTAGTAGATGTTCACGTGGTATATTTCCAGCAGTCACTTCCTTTCCATTCCTCTGCAATCTGCTTATGTGAAGTGCCCTATAGGCTATTTGTAGTTCAGTTTTAATTTTCATCAGGCAACCAAAATCAATCAACTTTCCAATCTAGGACTGTTATGGTACCTAGGATAGTGCATTGAATGGCAAAATGTTCAAGAGGAAGTTCAACGACAAATCTATACTCCAAGTTTGAAAGGCATCTCTCACAACACTAGTATCGATAAATTGTCAAGAAAGGTATTGGTGTGCTCATGATGGCACATCATCCAATAGCCATCTGATGATCCATACATGCTAAGACTAGAAATTGTATCCTGAAGGAAAGATCAACTGCCCAAGAAATTTGAGAGAAAGAATCATCTATGAGAGATGGGAAATGCCACTACAAACTGGATGAGAGCGAAATGAGGTGGGTGTAATAATGAGAAAAATAGACTCTTACAAAATGCCAATTGAAGAATGAGGAAGGTAACTTGTACTATGATTATACACCCCTTTTTTAACTCAAAATGACTCAGTCCTATGTCGTTCTGCAATTTTTATGATATTTATAGAAAGGGTGGAACCCCTCGCAAACCTCCCTCACAAACTCCCCCTAGATTAGCCAAAACAAATTGAGTCACAAAATGTTGCCTAATCTTAAATATAATATTGAGATACGTTTATCACAATGGCACATGTTGTTTTGTTTTGGGCAGCGTGTGGCAGTAACACTAGCAGGAAGGATTGGGATTATGTTTTGTGCAAGAGATTCGGATATTGCATCCAAGTAGTAATAGTTCGTGTTCATATCTTATTAGTTCTTTCTGTGTTTTTGTTAGACAACATTTGCAAGCGAATATAAACTGTTATTTCTGTCATATTTAGATTGTTTGGTGTAATCATGAAATCTAAACTAATCCATTAAGCCAAGTAAAAATAAGATGCTTGTCTTAGTGAAGCACATTACAGGGGACTAACACACTGTTAGAAAGATGCCTGCTTCGACTATATGTGGAAGAAAATTGGTGTAATCATGAAATCTAAACTAATCCATTAAGCCATGTAAAAATAAGATGCTTGTCTTAGTGATACACATTACAGGGGACTAACACACTGTTAGAAAGATGCCTCAAGGACTATATTACCTGCTTCGACTCTATGTGGAAGAAAAGAAATGCCGCTCAAATGGTTAAAAATAGTTTCTAGTTGTCAACATGCCTAGTGAGCCAATATCTGCGAGCCTACCATGCACAAATGATATAAATAGCGCATATAATTATTGCTGCAAACGGCACATATATGTAATGACAAGGAATAAGGAAAAAAGCAGATACCAATACAGTTAATTCCTTGACATTTTAAGTGAGAATTTCCATTTTTTTCTTTTCAGCTTTTTTTATTGCTTGAAATTTGCTTCTTGATTTATTTATGAACTTGTCCATAACTCTTAGATTTCATATCTTACCTCATTATGAAAACTCATAATGCCTTAGAAATTTTTGGGATGTATGGAGGATAGTCATTTTGAGATACTTTCAGCATTTGATGGGCATTCTAAAATGTTGGTTACAGGAAGACTTCAGATGTATTTCGCTGCCTACAGGAGGGCTACTCATGCAGTGACAAAGTTCCAACTTGTAAGTTGGTACCATCTTCCGGTTCTGCTACGATTATCCTGTTTTTCTTTACCTGAATTTTTATGTTTTATTTTTTGATGAAGAAACTCTGTATTGATTGTATGAGTCATACAAAAATGGAACGAGATGTACAAAATTTGGTCTAAAAGTCACAAAATGTGGAAACTGTTTGTTTGTACAAAATGTTTGTGTGATCAAGAGGAAGTGTTCACGTGTCTTCCAAAGGTTGTGGTCGTTAGATAAGTAGTGCTGGACAACCGACCCCATCCTTACTAATGGAGGTGGCAACTGAATTTGCCTATCTCAAAATGTTGTTGAAAGCGACTCTAATGGACTTCATTATTTGAAATGTTCGATAAAACTTTCTCTACAAGCGCCAGCAGTGAAGTTAGACACCAGTGGCCCATGAGCTGACATTGAGTTGCCCTCCACCACTAGGTCCTGACCCTAGACCTTGTCAAGAAGTTAGAGCCCCATCAGCAAAATTTGGGATTTGGCATGTTCAGTGATTCCTGCTGGGTTGGAGTAGAGAAGGGTGTGTTCTCTATGGTCTCTAAAGATACCCCTGAAACCAGCAAGGCCCATGATACTGAAAGATGTTCCATCGAGATCTAACTTGAAGAAGCCCTGAGGAGGTAGGATCCACTGAGCTGATCTTTAGATTCTGGGTGGGATAGAGCAAATAATATATTTCCATTTGCTGTCCAGGCCTACAATGGAGAATAATTTAAAATCTTTGCAGGCCAGAGATATAAAGTAGTTGTTGCTTTTATGGGTCTACGAGGACTGCAAGGGTTCTCTTGGTGTTGTGAAAAATTTACCTAATTTGCTCAATCTATGTGGTCCATATTTGTAGCTAATATTGAGAGATGCCATATGTGAATGCCCACAGGTGTAAAAAGGGGTAAAGTGCAATACCAAAACAGTTGTCTGATGGTGGCTCGGGCACAACCCACAATAGGTGAACAAATCTAGTAGGAAGGGCCATATTTGGTTCGTGAACTTTCAATGGATGAACAGATGGGGGATTGATTCCTCCTCTGCCCGACATATGATGCATCAATTAGGTGGTTAGAAACCTCAGGAGAAACCCCAACTTTGGATGAGGCTAATGGTAGGGCCTTCTTTGAAATGTTTAGCAAAGAAATTGGTTAGTAATGGTTGAGTGGAAGGATGCAACTGAGAAGGGCCTGGAAGGGAGGGGGAACCAGATGATCCTGTTTTGGCCTATTCTTGGGATAAAGTAGATGTTTAGATGCAGCAACCACACCATCACAAGGACCGATTGTAAGGAATAGACAAGGTCGATTTCCCAGTTGCAAAGGTCTTGGCAGAAACATGAGAACCACACAAACTGGTCACCCTGTGTTTCATGAGAGAGAGCGAGAGAGAGAGAGAGAGAGAGAGAGAGAGAGAGAGAGAGAGAGGAGTATTGTTGTCGAGACGATAGTAGTAGTATTAGTTAGTTGGTCGACGTACGTAGGTACGGTAAGTAAGGACGGTAAGGGTAACGGTAC